CCCGTTCCCCTGGGCACTGCCCCAGTGGGGCTCAGATACGCCCGTTCCCCTGGGCACTGCCCCAGTGGGGCTCAGATACGCCCGTTACCCTGGGCACTGCCCCAGTGGGGCTCAGATACGCCCGTTACCCTGGGCACTGCCCCAGTGGGGCTCAGATACGCCCGTTACCCTGGGCGCTGCCCCGGCGGGGCTCAGATACGCCCGTTACCCTGGGCGCTGCCCCGGCGGGGGTTAGCGTGGTTGTCGGCAAGCTGGTTTGAGCTGGACTGCAGCTTTGAGGTGGCCGCCAGCCCACAGGCCTCGCAGGCCAGCGCAAGCTGCCTCAGGGCATCCAGGGCGTCCGTCTTGGCACTGCGCAGCAGGTCGCACTGGCCCTGCAGAGGTAGGCATGTCCCAGTGGTTACAGCACCATCACCATGGTGACAGAGCAGACTGTGCACAATTTTACATCATTTCATTAAGAAGGATTCCTGTCTCCATCCACCCAGGAAAGGGAATACCCAGGATAAAAGCATAAGACTTGCATTACATTACAATTAAACAGTAGTTAAACAATGTTTTTTTATACCCTAAAAGTCATCACTTGAACTCCCAACCACAGAATATATGTGAGTATTATCACTGATAGGAGATGCTATTAACACAAAAAAAAATAGTATAAGAGTTTTCCAGCATATTCCCCATGACTGAGGCATGACAGCCACACAACATGCTGAGGGTTTCATATTTGGGCTCGAGAGGCTAAAAGCATTTATTTGTTCATCTCTCTCAAAATGTCTCAGCACCCTGAGAAAAGGCAAATATTTTCATGGCTGCATAAAAAGGTGTAGAAGCTAAAGAAATTATTGCTAAGAAGCACGGGGATTTGAGAAGATCTGGCTGCCTCCATCGTGAGCTCACACCTTCAGCACGGTGATGTTCCAGGCGAAGCTCTCCACCGCTTTGCTCTGCTTTCGCCCCTTCAGCCCCTCCTTCTCCCCCAGCCTGGGCAGGTCCTCATGAAACTCCATCCCTGATAGGGTGAGAGAGGGCCGGCATCATCACCTTGTGACTGGTGATTGGTCAGTTTATCTGTCTGCAGTCCTGTATACAGCCCAGTCAATCTCAGGTATGGCAGTGTGACCTTGGAGCAGATGTGCATATAACCCTCCGACCTACATCTGCCAAGTCTAAATGTAACAGCAATAAGTCAAGGCTGCTTTCAGCAGTGATCAGTGGTTAAGTCCCCTGCTAAATATTTACTTGCTGATTTCTCTCAAAAATGCTCTCTCGAAAGCATATGACCTTCAACTCTAATAACAAAACTTGTGGGTTAAAAGCTAAAAATTTCAACACTGAATATAGCAAGGCCAAACAATATAAAATATTCTTAATGCTGCAGAAGTAATGATATATGAAATAAAAGAAGAAATAATAATTTGGACCAAGACATATCTCTATTATCCCAAAACTGAACAGGCAAGTATGTTGCTTAGTCATAACTAATAGATTTGTCATCGAGGATCATTTATGTTTTCTCTCCAGAAGTATCTCTTTCTGTCACAGCTCCCCGTCCTTTTTCAAGGCTGGGTGTCTGTCACTTATCTGTCTTTTACCCCCCCCCCTTCAGTTAGACGCGCTGCATTACTGTGGCCACCAGAGGGAGCTCATCAGCCACTACAGAACACAGTATTATCTGCTGGAGAGATGTTGCCATTGAAAATAAATGCTAAATCAGTTGCTTGTTTTCTTACTAGTATAAGCACATATTTTCAGCTAATCTGGATAAAACTGCGAGGCCTCAACTCACCTTCCTTCTGCACCTGGGCAATCCTTTCCTGAATGGAGTCTGCGTTCTCAATCACTTGCCTGTGTGCCAGCACCATCTGAGAGGGACAGACATTCGCATGCATGTGAGCCTGGCAAACCGCGCCCATCCGGCTCACAGAAGGAGAGATGCAGATGCCCCATGAGTGACAGATAAGCGGGCACATGCCCATCTGCCGATGGGTATAAACATGCAAATGACTATTCATCATACGTGTCCTTCAGGGGAAGCCTTGGAGAAGGCATCTGGGCTGGGCCCTTGCGGGCGGATTCCAGCTCAGAATCCACCGTACATAACGGATTACCTATCTGCAGACCCTGCAGATGGGGAACATTCCGGAAACATGCCACTGTGTGCCTTGCACAGGCCAAAGGCAAAACCCCAGTCGACAGGCCTTGCCTCATGATTCCCACAATCCAGATATTTTTAACACTGCTGCCCAACAAGGCTGCCAAGCCAAAGTGCATGGAAAACCTTGAGGTCCCCTGTGCCCCAGCTATGAAAGACGTGCTCGTACAAGACAGAGCAGCATGCAGTGCGTCTGTCACGGAGAGCAGCTGCGAGTCCATCAGAGCCCTACTGCTCAAGCTCGCCTGCACGCACTCCTTCTGTTACACGCTCCATCCAGCTTGCCTGCCCGACAGTGCCCACTCATTCACTCATACATGAACACCAATTCAAATTAAAACTCAAAAATTACTTATAAGGTGCATTAAAGTGTTTGCTTTGTAGAAGTATCCCTAAAATCATTCAGCTGGTGTCATCTTTCTAGGGACAATCTGTCAGCGTGAAGAGAGAAAAGTGAAACACATACTACTATAGCATGTACTTTGTAACACGCCTTCACCGGATTGCACATGTGCCGCCTTAAACACATTAATGCAAGAAATGATTCCTACTCCCATGCAAAATGGAACTCAAAAAGAAACAACAGACAAAACAAAACAGAAACAACAGACAAAACCGGACCTATTCATTACTTTCTTTTAAAAAGTATTACATATGAAGCATTTATTTTGTGGTTATAATAGATGAGCAGTTGGAAGGTAAAAAGATTTTCAGTCTGGATGATACAGAGGTTTCTGATCGTAATCGATGAGCTATATTTTTTACTAATATTAACCTGTGACTTTGGCATTCTGAATGCATCTGTCACGTGTACATCTACCTATTTCACTATACTGCTTGTAAGCACTACATACATTTTAACTCACTGCAAGATTGAAGTATAAATCAAATAATCATATGGAAAAAATAAACAAAAAACACATGAAGGCCAGACATGAAGCCGAATGAAGCAAATTGAATATTTAGTTATAAGAAAAAATAAATGAATACAATAATATTATAAATGAGAATAATAGAAAACACCATTAGTTACTACAGTTCCATGGTTGGTTACCTTAATGTGGCTCGTGAATCGTGGGCCCGTGTCAAAATGGCACGACAGGCAGGCACACAGCTGGGCAGCTAGAACGTGTGCGTGTGGGGTCATTGTCGGGTCATTGTGGGGTCATTGTATTTATAAATCTGTGCCCATTTATATCCATCCGCACACCGACGTCTGCGTGTCTGCATGTACGTGAGTGACCCTGAGTGCACACAAGCTGTTCACACGAAGCCTATAAGCCACACAGGTGGGTGAATGGGCTCATTGTGTCGTGAGTAATAAAAGCCCACAGAGGTTTGCAGTCTTGTCAGTGGGGGGGGGCAGTTACATGTCCTTCAGATGGTGCCGAGTCACTCACCGCCTCGTAGGCACTGAGCAGCTTGCGTGTGGCATCCGGCAGGCCGCCCACCGGCTCCAGGCACGGACAGCCATCCTTCAGGACCAAGCAAGCGGCAGGGGGGCCCTCCACAGTCTGCAGCCGGGGGGCCAGGCTTTGGATGCACTGCTTCAAATTGGCCACCGGGGGGAGTCCACACTGCTCTTTGAAATTGACTGTTGCATTCTACAATGTTCAAAATAAATTAGTCACCAGATTGAGTTTTGTGTATAATATATACACAGAAAGCTCACAATGTGCTGTTTGACCGGAAAGGTGAAGCCGAATGACAATGGTTACGCTGTTAGAACGATCTATTCAGTCAGCTTCACTGTGACTGTGCTGAAGCTGTTCTTCGTGAAGTGACATACACAATTAGGGGAAGCAAATTCCAAAAGCAAGAAGATATAAAAAGAATGAAGAAAAGAGCCAGCTTGTCTCACAAAAGCGGCATGACATTCTCATAATAATGTAGCAGCAAGTCACAGAGGGTTCCGGAAGAAAAGGATGCTACAGCAAAGATAAGCAAAGGTTCTCAGAACCTGGACATGTGGCTGTGATTAATGCCATACCCTCCTTTGGTATAGGACAGTGACTGAATCTGACAGGTGGCAGAGACCCAAGCTGACCTGGTTCTTTACAGTTCTAATGGCTGTCAAAGGATTAACAGGTCAGCCTGGACTTAACCACCAAGATGAAGCCCACACACAGAGACCGTCGAGAGTCAGCGAGCACGTATGCGGTGGGGGCGGGGGGGGCTGCATGTAAGAATGCCTGCTGCTTCATGGAAAATCACAGCATGCGTTTCTTATATAATGCAGTATAATGTTCAGTGCATGGTGACTTTCCCCCTGCAAGTAAGGAAAACGGCCTCATCTGTTATGCTGCCTTTGATCCATAAAGTGCATGACAACTTGCTGCACACACAGGCTGAGTCCCCAACCTCTTATACAGACTGAAGCCCTGAGCCAAATGATTTCACTCTACATTCATGTGCCACAATATGGAAACAATGGAACGTGGATAAGGTATTTCTTCTCCCAGACAAAGGTAGACCTTTATATTCATGCCTGTCTTTGATAAATAAAATCATGCTCTGTTGAGATAAGAAGGTAAACACAAAGAGAATGCCCGTTTGATCTCCTCTGCTCATGATATTTAAAGACGTACATTATCTATTCCATGAGTCATGAAACCAGGATCAATGGCAGCAAGGATTACAGCAGCCGGACCGACTGAAGACCAGCGTCCAGTGCGAGTTTCACTGTAATCCAGTGCTGCTAATGTATTTTAACAGATTAGCTCCAGCTTGCTCTGTGACTGTTCCCCATCATGAGACACGGAGCTTTATTTCTGCAGTCTTACCTGCGCGTCTTCCCGCAGGTCCGCGGCCTCCCTCAAGGGGGTGCTCGCCGATCGGAACGTGTCATCCAACACCTTGATGCCGGTGCCACGCAGGGTGACATACTCGCGGCCGCGCCTCGCCCCTCTCCGTACAGACAGCCCCCTCCGCTGGGCCTTGCCGCCGCCCCGCCGGTTGGTGATGGCCACGTGCACGAAGAGGCTGGCATGGGCCAGCGGCTCTCCCAGCAGTCCCAGCAGGGGCACGGTGCGGTAGCCGGGCTGCAGGCACTCAAAGGCCACACTGTACTGGCCGATGAAGTCATCGCCGATGTAGTCATCGTCCAGCACCACGAAGCGCAGGAGGGCCAGTTCCGGAAGGTTGACCTGGGGCCAGGGGAAAGGCAAGGTCGGCGCACGTGCGAGACCTTAGAGGAACTCACCAATATTTACACAAACACCGTGTACCATACCATGTGCACCCTGAAGGATAAAGGAATTACACGTAATGCAGAATGGCAGCAACACTGCATCACTGAAGAGGAGTGTCGTGCACAATAGAAGGAAAACGGAAGAAAATAAGCTGTCAAAGAATATGATAAAAGACATCAGATACTAGCAGATGGAAATTCTAAATATCTGCACTAAATATGTCAGAGTGTCAGTTTATCCATTTCAAAACCCCCCCAAAAGTCACTCCAGGACCCATCCAATATACCCCTGTATTTGTTGACTGAACTACTACCATATGTTTGGCTAATCAAAACTTCATCAAATTATTGAACTAATTAAGTTAATTAAATGAGCTGGTGGTGAAAATCAATGAATGCATGGAACGATTGGGGTGGCCCTGAGGAGAGGTTTGAGTACTGAAGCAGTGTTCATCTAGCCATCCGACAAAATATCAGTAACTTTTTGGAGAACAGAAGGAATTCTTACTACCTAAATAGCTTTAAACATTTTCCTTGACTCCCTACCACACCTGCACAGTACAGCACATACTCTGCAAATTCCAGAAACACACACACAAGGCCAGCTTTACAAAGGCAGCACTGTCTGCTAAAAGGCTTGTGGCTACCTTTGGTTCTGATTACCCACACCAAGTGTATTAACAGCACTTCAGGAGGAAACTCTGCTGGTTACCTCCAAGCGTGATGCTAACTACTGAGTAACAACGCTAACAAAGTCAGTCGTGACCTAAGGGGCAGGATTCCAAAATAACATCACAATGGCCTTACACATGATTATGCTGAAGACTAACAATAGGCCGCCAGGCAGGTAGCTCACTGGCTTAAGAATGAAACATTGAAGAATAACCTATCTCAGAAAAACACACGAGGGGCAGACAGGGGGCTTTCCCTCATTGCCTATACTGTTGGTGTCTTCCGGACAGTATGAATGGAGTGTGCCCTAAGGCGCATTAGTATGAATGGAGTGTGCCCTAAGGCGCATAAGTATGAATGGAGTGTGCCCTAAGGAGCATTAGTATGAATGCAGTGTGCCCAAAGGAGCATTAGTATGAATGGAGTGTGCCCTAAGGCACATTAGTATGAATGGAGTGTGTCCTAAGGCACATTAGTATGAATGGAGTGTGACCTAAGGAGCATTAGTATGAATGCACATTGATGTAAACTTTCCCGGTGAATTTCTATCTGCTTTCTGTCTTTTCTTTGTTCAAGTAGTTGTCATACTTTCTGAAATATTCTTCAAGTGGAGTTTTCAGCAAAATTCTGGGTGAAAGCCTTAGTCTTGGATGAGAAAACAGTGTATCTGTCCAACACTGTCCAACAGGCATCATAAAAAAACGTTTTAATTTCATGGGCAAAGCTGTCTGGAAAAAAGGCTCTGGACTCTAAAGTGTGTGAACCTTAAGATTTTAAAAAATCCATTAGACACAGAGGCTGGGGTAGCTGGAAGCTTGTTCTAGGGCCTGGTCTGAGAGGCTATTCTAGATGGAGGTTCAAGGGTACGATGTGCCTGTGAGGGTTTATTACGCTGTCGGGATAGGGGACGATGTGCCTGTGAGGGTTTATTACGCTGTCGGGATAGGGGACGATGTGCCTGTGAGGGATTATTA